ACCACACGCCGTCTCCAGGTACCAGTAGCCGGGTAACCAGGTATTCCCCTGAAAGGAAAGCCTTGGTACCTCGACGTATCTCGGGACATCTACTGCTTATAAATGACCCCTCCTGTGTGGGAAACCGGATGTTCCCTTCCAGCCCACGAAGGGCGTGCGCGCTTCAATCCACCAAAAAATTCAAGAAATTATGCAAACAGCACGATATTAACCTCTTCGCTATTAGTTCTCCTTCGGCTAGAAGGAGCTTGAGTCGTTCCTTTCCTGCCTCAGTTAACAATGCTTAAATCCTAAAATGCAAAAAAAAACAAGTGGCTCGCTGAGTGAGATCGTGCTTCTGCTTATTTAATCTGTAAATTTTATTTAAAGTTTTTTTTTAGATTGCTCTTCTAAATATTAATATAGTGAAAACTTGTAATTGACTATTCTCATGTGTAATGTTTTTAACAACTGTAACTGTAAATCTTTCATACTCTAATTAAATGAATAATTTATATGTATGTGTTTAAAAATATATATGTAATGAAAACACTCATTCAAGTTACAAAGTATTTTCAAATAGCTTCATAAAAGCCACAGTACACCTTTATGATTACTTTACAAACAGATTAAAATCTCAAGATGTGTTGGGTTGCAGATAGTGACGTTGAAAATAAATAAAAAGATGATAAATTCATTTTTCAATTCCTATTTTAAATGCAATCGCGATGTGAGTATTTGTGTAGACATACAACAAACAATTTACAAAATTCCATTGTAATTATTTACACGTAAGAGGAATTCTCAGCAGAGATTGATAATTCGTAAGTATCTACTATTTACAATACTGTCAGTTCCCAAAATATCATCTTTTGGTCTTTTGACTATTTTGTCAAAGTGGCTGCCTTTTCCCTACGCAGCTCCTTAAGACAACTCTCGCATTAGGAACATATTCCTGTGTCGCAAGGTAATTTACAAACATACATGATTCGAACACAAAAGTCACCCAGACTCAGAACAACAATTTGTCGATACCACAACACTCAGCGCAGTAAGGAAGCACACAACCTTTCCCAAAACTACAAAAACATCAGGTGGAAATGTTTTTCTTAATAGATAAGAAAATCAGGTAAACTTAAGACTGTACAAGATATTCATTACTTTACGTACAATTACAGAGTAATAAAAACTTTTATTTTCTAATATTTGCATACTCATGTAATAAAAAAAATGTAATAATGTTATGATTGATTTTACAACAACGTGTCTTGGGTCGTAGACGATATACCCAACCTATGATTAATAACAGTACTCATCAACAGCCTTTACTAGCCCACTGCTGGACACAGGCCTCTCCTTAGAAAAGAGAGTATGGCCTACTATACCACACTAGCCAGACGGGTTGGTATAAGTTTTGTTTCAAGTTTTCCTTCTCTTTTCAGTGCTGTTGTACTGCGTAGTTTGCACCCTTATTCGGATTTTACCACACCGATGGGATAATTAGGGGTGGTGACACTCTGTATTCCTAATCCGTCACCGTGTGGTGGTGGTGGACTAATAGTTATAATAAACCACTTAATGGTAGTAAGTCATAGTTGCAGTCCCAGGTCCGAGTGTTAGGTTCCTAGCCTAGTTCAGCAACAGATGGTTATACCGAACACTCATTATCTACAAGTAAATTTAAAATAGCAATTACAAACGATGTGTATCTTACATATAAAATTCTCGTGTCACAATGTTAGTTACCATACTCCTCCGAAAGGGCTGGACCGATTTTTATTTGATTATTATTTGTATCTGTATATAATTCTTTCTTCTTCATTTTTTTTTAAAAGACAACTCCCGCATTAGGAATAAATCCTGTGTCTCGGGGGACTTTACAAACATACATGAAACGGACACAAAGAACACCCAGACTCAGAACAACAATTTGTGGATCACACAAAGTGTCGTCCCATGTGGGGTTTGAACCCACAACACTCGGCGTAGTAGGAAGCGGCGTGGCGACCGCTTAAACCACTACGCCATCCGTGCAGTCAATTAAGTTGAAATCAATATTGTTGGCCTACTAGTAGGCCAAAACCACCTTTCTATGGAGAAGCCTATGTCCAGGAGTGGACTATTAAAGGCTGTTGATGTGAAATATTGTTGCGCCAAAGGATTAAACAGATCCGGTATGGTCTAGTGGCTAGGATACCTGGCTCTCTGGCGGGGAATTGAACCCGAACAGGCGGGGATACTTATCACTATACAGCAATAGTCATTCGATTAATTTATGATCTGAAAAAGAATTCCAATAACAGTCCCTCTACAGAACTTCGAAATCGCCTACTTGGGTTATGGAGGTCTGATGGCACTCACTCCACGTAAAAATCGAAGTTCAGCCGTATCGTAATGGACTTGAAGTCGACCCCAACCTAGTTCCTGTCAGAGCAAACATACTATATGCATGTCCTGTCAAAACATGTTATGTTGACTTATTTGTTTTTAAATATTTTTATTTTAAATATTATGGCGGGAGGCGGAGAAAACCTATCCTTTCGTCCCACGGTCACACACAGGACGGTATGAGGCACTTGCTTTCTTAGCTCTGTTAACCTGGATACTGTAAGTGTCCAGGAAGGGACCATCGCCGAATATATTTGAAATGGCCACTAAGACGAGGTTATCAACTGATTTTTGAAGTTACCTGATCATAACATAAATACATATGTTACTACGTACAAAACTCAAGGACATATAACATTTATTGTGTTATCATCATGCATTAGACATGGAAATTATTGCTACTTTTGTATCATATTCATTTGATAAAATAATTGGTTTTAGTCACAGCGATTTCATATGTGATTGTGATTTCGTCATGGACAAAGATAAATGGCATTAAAATCAATTATTATTTTTAGATTTAGACCTTTCGCGTGTTGCACTAGCGTAATAATAATAATTAAGTAGCAGTGGTTTTATAAATCAGTCACAAGTGTGATGATATAATTTTGAAAACATATGATTTATCACATGCTATTGTGATTTTATTCCATACCAGTTAATTATTGCATATTGCAGTATTGTATTGCCTACAGATAAAAACAGAAGAAAGATATAGGATCTGTATAACCCATTATCTCATAACTACCAACGTGACAAAGCAACGTAACATTTACATAATGATTATCACATTGATAAATAATATTATCAAACATCATAAACTCATAAAAGCTATCTCTCATCGCACGTTTTAAATGCAGCCTCTTCAACGTTAAGTATTTTCGAATTCTTTTTGATATATATGTATATCATATGTACGTCAGACCATACCCCCTTATTGAATCATTTGGGTTACATTAAAGCGCGAAAGCGAGCGAGCGAAGCGAGCGTGCTACCGTAGCGGCTGCCGAACGCCATGTATAGAAAGCTGACGAAGAAGAAGAAACAGCCAGAACCAGATCAGAATTTCTTTAACATATGTATTTAAATACGTAAGAATAGTATAACACTATGAAAATAAAGTTATATGCGGATATTATAATAAAACTCAATATTATAGTTTATTCATAAGTATATTTTTATATTACGAGTAGACTAATAAATAACTAAGAAGCGTTTACAGGAATATTGTTATTATAATGTAAGTACGAAGAGACAGATCACTTGATTTCAATTTCCACAAAACCTATAAACAACTAGCCATACCCTGTCAAATCTCGCTGTGGTACTTTATGGTTGGGCGTTGATGAGCAATGAGGATAAACGGTTTGCATATTGTGTCAAAATTTGAAGTCAATCAGTGTAGAACTTGAAACAAGAGTTTTATAACGTACACTAAAAAAAAAAAAATTGCCTAAAATAAAAATTTAGGGATGGGTCACCCTTACCATTTAGGGGTATGAAAAATAGATGTTTGCCGATTCTCAGACCTACCCGATGTGCACACAAAATTTCATGAGAATCGGTCAAGCCGTTTCGGAGGAGTACGGAAACGAACATTGTGACACGAGAATTTTATGTATAAGATTAACCAACTTAACATTTTCATATATATAGATACAATTTGTTCGTAAAACCAAACTAGACCGATTAATCCAGTTTTAGTGCATCGCTTTAGAAATCTAGTCAACTATTATTTACTTCATTTTACATCTATATAAATAAAAATCAATATTTGAATGTAGGCCAAAACCTCCTTTCTAAGGAGAGGCCTATGTCCAGCAGTGGACTAGTAAAGGCTGTTGATGATGATTTGAATGTTTGTTCTCCATGCGTTCTAAAACCATTGATCAGACTGTAATGAGACTTTGGTAGGACGTTTTAAGGACGCCCGCTAGAATTCCTGTTCCAAAAAATCTATTTATTTATTTATAACTTAGAGGACCAACAGCTTTGACGAATTTGGTTAACGCATTGCATTAGTAAGCCAATTATAGATCCTTACATTTAGTTCAGTACATAGTAATTAATTTAAATTTTAATCAGCTTAAAGTACGCTTTGGTAAGTTATAATACTTGAAAAAGCGCTACCATAAAGCACTGGTCGTTACAACAGAACAAGTCTAGGTATTAAATTGAATTAAAAATATATCAGAAGTCTTGTGGCCGCATTAAAGGCGTTGCTTGCTTTTGGAATAAAGGAATTGTGTCTATAATTGCTATAACATTGAGGGACATGTAAGGGTTGCATCTATATATAAAGTTTAAGCTAGTTTTTAATTACTCCTGAGAAATTAATAATAATACTAATAATTCACACATCTCACACACGGCCGTCTGATCCCAAACTAGGCAGAGCCTGTGCTATGGTAACCAGACTGCTGATAAACATACTTATATATTTTTAAATACATACATATTAAAGATAAATGACACCCAGACACAGAACAAATGACCGTGCTCATCACACAATATTTGTCCTGGGTGGGAATCGAACCCACGACCTCCGGCTTAGCAGTCAGGGTTACTCACCACTAGACCAACAGGCCTGTCAATTGTTATAATAAATCGTACTGAGAACTAGTCTTGTATTTTTATATATATCCTCTGCCTACGCAGTGTTTTACGTTGTTCGCTTCTCTTAGTCTACCCTCCTTAGTCTTGAAATCAGGAACTTTCCAAACATCCACTATATCCTTCCCCTCTTCACCCTAAAGGTAACAGAAATGAATAATTACTACCTTTAATGTAACTTATATTTTTTTTGTTTTTAACAATTCCCGCACTAGGAACTTTCTATCGGAATGCGTTCGGACCAACAATCTTAGAGTCTTCCTAAGAGCTAATTTTAATTTTAAGGTATATGATGTCAGAGTATTTTTAAACATTTTGTCTGAACCTATGTCAAACGCAGCTATTGTATTGTATAAATTTATAGACAAGTTTATTTTTTTTAAGACCACTCCGGCAATATGAATATGTCCTGTGTCCTGTGTGTGTAGGAATGTGTCCACACACAGGACACAGGACACAGGACAAACATACATATAGAAACGGACACAAAGAACACCTAGACTCAGAACAACAATTTGTGAATCACATAAAGTGTCGTCCCATGTGGGGATCGGACCCACAGCACTCAGGGTAATAGCGAGCGGCGTGGCGACCGCTTAAACCATCCGTGCAGTCGATAATGTAAATGAAAAACCGCCACACCGCGGGATAGTCATGCTGCGGCACAAATTTGCCTGCTTTGCCGGAATAATGTCATGGTATCACAGAAAACCGGTGTTGAGGACTTCTTTAATTGCTTTCACTAAGTGCATCAGGTCATCCTGAGCCCCAAACCATCTCTTCTCCTAATTATAATAATAGCTTCACACATCTCACACACGGCCGTCTGGTTTCAAACTAGGCAAAGCCTGTAATATGGTAACCAGACTCCTGATAAACGTACTTATATATTTCTAAAACCATACATATCATAGATAAATTACACCCAGACACAGAACAAATCATCGTGCTCTTCACATAATTATTAGTCCTGGGTGGGAATCGAATCCACGACCTTCGGCTTAGAAGTCAGTGTCACTAAACACTAGACCAACAAGCCCGTCTGGGGGGAGGCTCAAAGGGCTGAAACGCGTTTGTGACTTTTAAGTTGCCCATGGTTCATGGTGCGGCGGTTGTCACTTACAATTAGGTGAACTGTGGGCTCGTTTGCCCCCTATTTCATAAAAACCTTTTTTACTATTAATGCTCACCTCTAATTCCAAATCCACTGCATCTTCAGGAGCTAACACCGTGAATGGTGTTGTATCGAAACTATATCCCAGTCCAAAATATGAATACTTTTTTATTTCTTCCATAAACACTGGCCAGGGATATATTTTTTGGGGATCACTTCCCAAATCCTCAATCTGACTAGAAAGAGTATCATGATAAAAATGCAATAACTCGTCGTAATTTTTGTCTCTTAATTCTTGATCAGTACATGTATAAATCATTACGGATAAATCTAGGACGGGCGTTCCAAATCTTAGCATCTGAAAATCGACCATTTTGGCATCAATCGGATGCCCATCTTCGTATCTGTATAAGAAATTTGCTCCCCAAGAATCTCCATGACATATCACTCCATTTTCAGAAGTCTTTGTAGCTGCATTAATCATGTCCTCATATCTTTCTGGAACAGCAAACTTCTTGATTTTCTCTAAATATATGGAATCAGGATATTCCTTTTCAACAGCGTTGATAGCAACTTCTGAGATTCTATTCCAAAAATTAATATACCAATTCTTATGAGGCTCATCGTAATAAACTTCGGTTATCGTCTCTTGTAACTCTTTGAAGTTTTTAGGTTCCTGGTCTTTCATTGCAAAAGATAAGGCATGAAATTCCGCAAATGCTCTAAATGTCATCTTACAATGTTCTAAATCTATACCTTCCTGACGAATAGCATTTCCAAAGTTGTATACAGAGCCATCTTCAAGACACACAACGTCATTATTTCCGTCGGCGTAAGCAAAGAACAGTTTCACATATCTATCGAAAGGGTTTTTTAGTTTTTTCTTGGATTGGAATGCTATCAACTCGGGCAGAATGTTTTTATAAAAGTTTATTTCATTCCTAAAGAAATCGTGACTTCGGCAAATGCTCCTTCTGAAAACGTTTTTAGGAATACTCTTTAAAATAACTTGAACGAAGTTCGTGTGACCTTTGGTATTGACGCCGTAAATTTGGATACGAATAACTTCACTAACGAATGAATCACCTTTATTCATGTCGCCTACATACTGAAAGGGAAATTAGATTAACAGATAACAAATCGTGTACACCCGTGACATTTGGCTTTGCCTCGTAGTTCTTTAGCCGTTTACATCTATACTAATATTATAAAGCTGAAGAGTTTGTTTGTTTGTTTGTTTGTTTCTTTGAACGCGCTAATCTCAAGAACTACTGGTCCGATTTGAAAAATTCTTTCAGTGTTAGATAGCCCATTTATCGAGGAAGGCTATAGGCTATATATCATCACACTAAGACCAATAGGAGCGGAGCACCAATGAAGAATGTTTCAAAAACGGAGAAAATTTATTACTATTGAGACGCAGACGAAGCTGCGCGGGTCAGCTAGCATGCAATAAAGCAATGGTTATTATCTTAATGTTAAAATGTGTCTTATAAATGATTTCATGTGTATCTTACCGCCCAATGAGTGAAGGTATATTCCTCTTTAAACCAATCAGTTAGAGCCTTGCTGAGTCGTTCGTTTGTCACCAGCGGGGAGAAATGGCTGAGTGTACTGTAGTCCTCGGGCATGATTTCCTGATTCTAAAACAACATAAATATCGTTACTAGCTTCTTCAATAAGGAGACTCTTTTATTTCATGGGCACCCTACATCAAACGAGTAGTAACAGATTATTTGGAGGGAGGGATCTAATCATTCTCCTGTAAGCGGTCTTACAGGAGAATGAATAGACGACGTCTAGCTTTATGGCCGTCTTAGTCAAACTGTTTCCTACTTCTGACGAATAGAAAATATCTATAAAAGTTTTTATTGAAATAAATTATTTTAATTTCTAGGCATCGACATATCGAGCATAGTCTAGTTTTGGGGTCACTTAGAGGGTAAGGTTAAATTGGTGTCGAAGAAGCTCGGTGTGCTGAACAGATCAAGGCAGTATTTCACTCCGGCCCACCGCGTTCAGCTCTATAAGGCGCAAGTCCAGCCGCATATGGAATACTTGGCGCTTCACTACTGTGCGCTTTTTGAGACACTTTTTGCCCCGCGCCACCAAACTGTGGAACGGGTTATCGTCTGCGGTATTTCCGGACCGATATGACCTTCAAACCTTCATGAAAAGAGCGTACTCCTTTCTAAAAGGCCGGCAACGCGTTTGTTACTCCTGAGTTGCAGACGTTCATGGGCGGCGATGGTCACTTTCCATGAGGTGACCCATCTGCTCGTCTACCCACTCTGACATAAAAAAAAATGACAAATTCTAGAAATTCTGTCATTTTGCTATATCGTAGCCAAAGATACGACGAGGCCTTTCCTTATAATGTGCCTTCCTAGTGTTCAGGTCGTCCCGTCAATGATAGACATTATTTTAACATTCAATATTATGACAATGGGGAAAGGGCTGGATGCGAATGACACCAAACCGCACGAAGAGGTGCATACCCAAAATGGGTGAATAAAGGCTGAAGAAGAAGAAAAAGCTTATGACATTAGGTTCCTCGAGTCAATTAATGATTTCCTTTTGCAATCATTTTCATTCAACAATCAAAAACAGTATTTAATACATCCTTTTTTTTCTGTCCGGATCTCCCCTCGGATATCACCCACCAGTGGGTGATTATGTCGGACTCGAACCGACCAAAAGCCGCACGCCGTCTAAAGGTACCAGTAGCCGGGGAACCTGGTATACCCTAGAGAGGAAAGCCCCGGCTACCCTGACGTAAGTATTTAATACATCCTGGAAATGATTTTGAATTACAGTTTTCATATTTTCTTTTGTCACTTAAAATCTAGATCCATACTTACATATAAATGGACTCAATATAAACAAATCCTCCTGGCCCTGGATCCTGGTCGTCTAATGTAAATTTATTTATTATTCTATTTAGACTCTGGCAACTTGATCACACGTTAAACAGTCGCAATGAAAATGATTAAAATGATCAAATAACACTCTTTTATATCTCAATATCTGTCGGTGTATAAGAATATAAATCCCAATTAAATAAATTATAAGTAGGTAATCTGCTTTAATGTCTGTTATTAAAACCATAAATGTAAATAACATGCAACAACGTAAAAATAATATGCTTACAGATGAGTATGTGAGCATAAGTAATAAAAAGTGTTCAACATTATCAAAAATTATACTTTATTATGTCAGTTGTAATGATAAAGTGTAGCTTGTTTGTATAAGGATCAACAGAAGCATATAAAAATACATAAATATAAACATGACTTACGCCAGATTACGTCAAATTTGAGGGTTAACTTAAAATATTCGCAGTCTGAAAACGCAACAGGCAGCAGCAGGGCAGCAACGCGCGTCGGGGCGCCAGGGATTACCTTTCTAGGGTACACCTGGTTGTCCGACTACTGGTACCTGAGACGGGGTGCGGTTTTAATCGGTTCGAGTCCGACATTGCCACTGGTAAGTGGTATCAGTGGTAATAAAAAAAAAAGGGCAGCAACACGCTTGTGACTTCGGAGTTGCTGCCCTTTCATCAATTACAGTCATCACTGCCAATCACAGTCAATGAGATGACCTGTCTGATGCCTGCCACCTGCCATAAAAAAATACAAATCAAATGCAAGAATGCAAGCAATCAGCTCATCAATCATCATGCAGTTTCAAAATAAGAATAATGCTTCTTCTTTCGAAACTGTTTTCGATAAAATAATAACGTTTCTTCTTTCGAAACTCGTAAAAAAATCTCTTTTGATGAATAAGAAACAATTTACTGTTCACTTCCACACGTTACATCGTTAATTTACGTTACACTAAAATGAAAGACCTGTGTATGTATGTGTTACTCTTGTACGATAGCTACTCTAATGTGTCCTTTCGATTTTATTAACGAGTTTCGAAAGAAGGAACAAGATTTTTTTTATCGAAACGAATTTCAAAAGAAGAAATATTATTCTTATTTCAAAACTGGTTTCGAAACTTGGTTTCGTAGACGACTGAAGTAGCCCGACGGGTTGGTATAGGGTTTGTTTCAAGTTTTCCTTCTCTTTGAAGTGCTGTTGTCCTGCACGGATGCTGTTGCTGTTGTCCCTCGGGATGAATAGAGGTGATGAATCTCTGTATTCTTAACCCATCACACGGACGTATGTTGTCTGTTTGTTTATGTTGCATGTTAATAAACTATTATTAATCATTTTTCAAAAGGACTAGGAGAGAGATTTAACCGATAGAATAATAGACCAACAATTAAAAAAATATCAAGGCATTGGTCACCAAGGAGAGCCGTGCTTCAGCACACACTCACAGCGCTCACAGAAAACTGGTGTTAATCAATTCTTTCATTACTTTACAAACTTACTTACCCGCTCCTATTTTTGGAGGGTAAAAATACTTGTGGTTTTTTAAATAATCCCATATCTTTTATTCAATAAGGGGGCAAACATCCAAACGATACCTGCTACTCAACGAGACATAATTACATTCCCGTCATTTGAGTGCACTCTCCCCATAATTAGTGGGGAACGTGGACTTGGTTGGTCCTCCGGTAACCTCATTCACTAGGTGAAAAAAGAACTCCATGGAATAAAACACTACAGCATTCTTATGTGACCTTCCACCACGATGTTCAGATCGCTCTACGCTATATCAATCACCAACAGCCTATAACAGTCCACTGTTGGACATAGGCCTCTCCTTAGAAAGGAGGTTTTGGCCTACTATACCACGCTGGCCAAACGGGTTGGTATAGGGTTTATTTCAAGTTCTCTTAGCAGTGCTGTCGTCCTGCGTAGTTTGGTCCCTTAGTCGGCTCTTACGACACCCACGGGATAAATAGGGGTTTTGACATTCCGTATTCTTAACCCGTCACCACACGGACATAGACGCTACGTAGACGCTATCAGTAACGATCTATTCCATTTAGAATCTTTAAAGGTGGTTTGGTTTCAATGTCCTTGTACTGCTATCAGTTAAATACTTAAATCTTTTCTTTGTATTTTTATTGCAGTTACTAACTGTAGGGACATAACGTATCTTACTTTCTTATCAAATCTTTAATAATTATGTAAGTGTGCAGCAAATTATACCATAGAGGCGGCTGCGACCGGCGTTAAGTCAGTCGAGAATAAACCCAATTTACGTGAACACGTGAATACCTATTTATTAGACTTGCAACGAATATTCGGTTACTATTCGGTATTCGGCCTATTCGGCTGCTTTTATTATATTCGGCCGAATACCGAATATCTACATATTATTCGGCCGAATACCGAATACTTAAATAATATATTTTGTCATTGAGAAATAATTGGTAAAATGAAAAATTAAAATCGATTGATTACGTATATATTCATATTTTCATTTCTGTTATAATCATTTAAGTAGTCATTGGTGCATAACACAGGTACATAATCATCTTCTGAATAGGAAAAATGGAGGATTCTATGTATTTGAATTATTGTGGTAATCAAAATTTAGAAGGGTAAGGTTCTCATGTCTTTTATAATCATTTATTAAGTAGTCATTGGTACATAAAACAGGTACATAATTTAATTCACGTCTGTACAAGTTTTTGGCGCTAAAATCCAGCCGAATACTTTTGCCTAATATTCGGCTGTTCGGTCAGGGGCCTCGCCGAATATTCGGTATTCGGTATACTGCCGAATATACTATTAGTTGCAAGTCTACTATTTATTTATCCCAATAGGTAACACAAACATACAATGTTCCCTAAACTAATAATACAACTCACAAAGCTATTTCAACCATAAATGACGATTTTGGACCCATTTCCGAGTGGAGTATAGTCTACCGCTGAACTCTGCTAAAACTCAAGTAATCGTAGTGGGCCAATCCACTATGATTTCTGGCTTCGACTTTGCGCAACTGCCACAAATTACTGTCAACCATAATAAGTACTACTGTTAGAATCTGAAAATATTCGTTATAACTTAATAACTGTACTTAAATATTGCTAAATGCATAACCTACATATTATAGATATTTTACACCCAGACACAGAACAAATGATCCTGTTAATCCCACAATTATTTGTCCTGAGTGGGTATGGAACCCACGACCTCTGGCATAGCCATCAGGGTCACTAACCACTAGTCTAACAACCCCGTCACTAATAAATTTTTATGTTAAAGCCCCCAATTGTAAGAGGTTATTCACAGATTGTTTGTCTTTATCGTTTGAATTTTCTTACGACGGACTGCTACGAAGATTCTTTGTTTTTGTGTATAAATTATACTGATGTAATATATAACACATCTGAACATACAAGGACATCCATTTTTGTGCAATCCATTCGCAGACAACATCCCCATTATACAATGCTGAGCTGTACACCTAAACCTTGCCCAGAAGACACTTCTCCTGGTAAGGCCGCTCATTGTGCACTTCATGTTGTTATTTTCTCTTTTTGTATATCTATTTTCTTTTCTTTGTTAGGCAATAAATTATTAATACAATGTAATTATTTACTCTTTTGAGTGTGTGTGTTGATGACTAATATGTCACGTGAGTACCAAATGATGTGTAGTGCGGACAGATGCAAGTGTCCTACTGATAAGGGATACTCGGCTATCGGGCATACAGGAGAAGACACCTTCGTGCATGCTGTTTTTAAATAACATTGTGTTGAATGCGAGGTGTACAGCAGACTGGAAAGTGACAACAAAGAATGAAGAATATTGTTTGAAAATCAGTAGAATAAAAACTGAGTACATGGTCTGCGATGTTGGCGATGTAACCAGTTATGAAACAATTTTGCTGGATGGAATTTCAACACCGACCTTCTCCATCTTACAAAGCGATGGTAAAATAGATCGGTTCGTTTTTATTAATATCAAGGTTCCTGTTACACTAAAATTATTAGTCTATAAGAAGATCGTCAGACATGAGCGAAAGTTCGAGCGAATGATGCGAATTTTGAGATAGATTTGAGACACATTAGCGAGATTTAGAAAGCAGCGCCAATGGCTGAAAGCGTACGTTATCGTAGTATGGATATTTGATGAAAGTTAAGAGTTAAAAGAGACGAAAAAACAAAAGAAAAATATATAATTTATGAAGAAGGGAAGCGCCTTTTTCACATAATTTTTTAAGTTCTATTATCGGAAGTCCGAAAATTTTTCTCATATCATTTTACATCATAATGATCACTCTTTATGAAAGTAATAGGGGTTAAAGTATGAAATTGCCGTTGTAGAATAATAGTTTTTTTTTTATTCTTTATGCTTAAGGGACTTTGAGCGATAATTAACTTTGACGGCGTGGGTGGAGCAGAGGCGAGACCTCGTGGCGGCCATCGGAGTAGGAGCTCTCACGCTCGATAACCTTATTGCGGCTATCGTGCGGAGTGAGAGTACGTGGAACTCTGCCGTCTCCTTCTGCGAGTAAGTTATGCTTGCGAAGGAGATGGCGGAGCGGTACCGGGAGTGGTTTAGAACTCTCCCGGCCCACCAGGTACCGCAGACGACTCAGGTGCTAATTGTTTTTATTTAATTCATTTTCTCAATTATCATATTACAATGTTGTGTGTGTCAATAGTTTGTACTTTAATAAGATATCAATAAATTCCGAAAAAACAAATGTATCTATACCATTTGATATAGCTTCTTTAGCCATCCTATCTACATTTTCATTGCCTTTTATACCAATGTGAGTTGGGATCCACTGCAGTCTCATAGTTAAACCTCTAGTTGTTAAATTTTGAACCTTTTTAAGCATAGCATAGGCTATCGAGGCGCATCTAGCCAGATGCTGCAAAGCGCGTTTACAGTCAGTTAATATCACTGTCTTTCTGAATCCCTTAGACTCTGCATGTCAGATGGCCTCTCAGATTGTAAATAATTCCACCAGTAATAGATACTGTCCGTGTATTGACGGATTAAAAATACGGAATGTTCCTGGATTTGGCTTAGGCTTTTGACACGGTTTCGACGCCACTACTCTACCCACACGCCACTACCCTTCAAAAATTTGAAGATCTAGGCATAAGAGGAACCCAATTGAAATTGTTCACTGAGTAACTATCACAGCGTTTTCAATGTGTGAAAATTAGTAATATATTTAGCACTGGCTTACCTATTACTCGCGGTATGCCTCAAGGCAGTATCCTTGGATATAGCCTTTTTCTGGTATATATTTTTTTCTTTTTAAAAGACAACTTTACAAACATACATGAAACGGACACAAAAAACACTCAGACTCAGGACAACAATTTGTGGATCACACAAAATGATGTCCCATGTAGGGATGGAACCCACAACACTAGTAGTAAGCGGCGTGGCGACCGCTTAAACCACTACGCCATCCGAAATATAAACGGATTCTGTAATCTAGATTTACCAAGTGGTAAATTGCGTATGCCGATGACACAGTCTTCCTGGTTTCCTCTGAAACTTGGGCAAAAGTATTCAAAGCAGCTCAACATGGTTTGAACATTGTTACACAATGGCTTTAGAGCAATTCCTTGTCCCTCAATAGGGACAAAACCAAGTATGCCCTCGGATATACACTCTTTAACAGCTCACAGCTGTTGTCATGGCATAGAGTGTCCTTGTCCCAATCTAGTAGCAAAAAACTCAGTGAAGTACTAGGGAGTTATTATCGAAAATAATTTGTCCTTTAAACTACATATCGATTTAATTATATCCAGACTGCGAAAACAAACTTATGTTTTCAAAAATCTTAGACATGTGGATAAGCAAGATATGATGAGGCAGATTTATCTAGTGCTAAGACAATCAGTTTTACTGTACTGTTCTGTTTGGAGTAGGGTAGGCAAAACAATTCAAGGCTATTGACTGCCTCGGTGGTGCAATGGTAGCGTATGCGACTGCTTTGTTAAGGTCTCGAGTTCGATTCCCAACTCGGTCGGACCAAATGTTTGTATGATCTGCAAATATCGATTCGGAGTTTGGATGTTTTTTATCTATAATATGTATGTGTTTACAAAAAAAAAGTATACAAGCATTCTATCAGTCAATCTAGCTTTCATAGTACAAGCTCTGCTTAGTTTGAATCTGGATGGCGTTGTGTGAAAACAAAAACCTGAAGGCATTGAATCTAACTCAAAGCATACTCAAGGTCAGTTCATTTCGACCATACCGGTACCCAACGTATCACCTTTATCAGTTCTGCGAGATTCTTACGGTCCAACAGATGTTTATATTTCTCACTTTAATAAAGCATCAATATTTACTGGCTCCCTTAAGATGTACGGAAACTACGAGACGAGAAACCATTACAAACCTTGTTCGACCTCTCTTTAGACATGTCTATGTAAGGAAATATTTTTGTTTGCTATACCCTAGTGGCGGATTAAGAATACGGAATGTCACTACCCCAATTCATCCCGTTCGTGTCGTAAGAGCACCAGCACTTCAAAAAGAAGGAAAACTTGACACAAACCCTATACCAACCCGTCTGGCCAGCGTGGTATCATCATCATCATCATCATCATCATCAACAGCCCTTAATAGTCCACTGCTGGACATAGGGCTCTCCTTAGAAAGGAGGTTTTGGCCTACTATGCCACGCTGGCCAGACGGGTTGGTATAGGGTTTATGTCAAGTTTTCCTTCTCTTTGCAGTGCCGCTGTCCTGCGTAGGTTGCTCCCTTAGTCGCCTCTTACGACGCCCACGGGATGAATAGGGGTGGCGACACTCCGTGTTCTTAATCCGTCACCACACGGACAGCGTGGTATAGTAATCCCAAACCTCCTTTCTATTACTATTAAAGGCTGTTGATGTGATGTGATGATGTGAGGCCCTTACCTATATGCCAAAATTAAAAAAATTATAAGCATCTACAATCTTAATAAAAAACGGTGCCAAATTTAAATATTCTAATTTTTTCATAAATTATCATATTAGAAAACCAAAAAGTTTTTAAATGTACCACAGTAACTTTTCTACTCACCCTCTCACACTCACACATTCATTTCCTCACTCCACTCTCAGAGAGGACAAATAATACTATTTTTTTTATTTTTCAATTTGGAGTGATATTTATTAAAACTGGTGTAAAACTTTTATTGTAATAAATTATATAGTAAGTGATGTAATCAGGGAAGAGCGCTGATGTCTGGGATACAGATTTCTTATCTAGTCCAGGCACAGATGCCCCAATTTAAATGTATAATGTATCCACAGTAATATTTGTTTTTTTTTAATATGGAAATATTTTGAAACATCCAAATTCATGAGTTTGTTAAGAAGAATAGTAGGTATCAACATTCTGAAATAAATATCTTAATAAATGCGCCATATTTTGACGTGTTTTGGTAATGTAGAATTTAAACTATTTCCTTATAAGGTTTAACAAAATCAACTATATGCCTATTGGTAAAAAGATCACATTAAGATGAAACTCCATGGTAGCATTCGCGTAGGTGCTTGCAAAGTTACGCTTCGTTTGACGATTAATTAAACCGCATTTGAAAATACTATAGTTATATTGACATCAACTCGAAAACAATTTCCCTATTGTTATATGTATCCCCTATCAACGCAGTGTTTTACATTGTTCGCTTCTCTTAGCCTGCCTTCTTTAGTCTTGAATTTGTCTACCCTGTATATTTCTTCTAGATTCACGGCTTCATCTCCCTGAAAATCAAAAGAAATTAAAGTTAATAGAAAACAATGTTCACGTAAGAGTATAAAAGCTAATAATAATAATATGAATTAAGCCAATTAATTCATATTATTATTATTATCTCTAGCAATAGGCGCGACCAATTATATTAAATACACAAATATTTAGTTGGTTGGTCAATTAACTAAATCCCTCACATGCATTTTACCCGATAATTTCATCCATAAATTAGAAGTCAGCGAAAATGAGTCGACTAAGGACTAAAGCCGCACTAGAGTCCTAGAATGGAGACTGCGAATCGGTAAATCTATTCTATTCTACACTAAAATTACATTTACTTTAGTTGGATAACCTACCTCTATATTCATGTCAATGGCATCCTCTTCATCTAATACTGTAAACGGCACACACTCAAAACTATACGCCAGCCCGAAATAGGAATACTTCTTTATATCTTCCATAAATCGTTTCCTCGGATATACTTTATATGGATCACTGCCCAAATTCTGCAATTGATTGGATAACGCGTCATAATAAATTTGTAGCAAATCATCGTAATGGTTTTCTCTCATGTCTTCAGTGGTACAAGTATATATCATTAAAGATATATCAAGAGCAGGTGTCCCATATCTTGCTAATTGGAAGTCGATCAGTTTTACATCAACCGCATGTCCATCAACGTACTTATAAAGGAAATTGGGCATCCAACAATCGCCATGACATATCACACCAGTTTCAGTAGATTTTGTTGCTGCGTCTATCAAATCTTGGTATCTCTGTGGTACAGCAAACTCTTTGACTTTTTTCTCATAGATGGAGTTAGGATATTCGTTCTCAACTGCGTCAATAGCGATTGCTGAAATTTTATACCAAAATCGGGCGTACCATTCCCAGAGACGACTGTCAAAGTGAATTTCTGAGAGATTATTCGGTAGCTTCTCAAATTTTTCAGGCTGCTGGTCTTTCATAGCAAATGATAATGCATGAAACTGAGCGAGTACTGTCAATAATATTTTGCAATGTTCAAAATCTAAGCCTTGTTGACGTTCTGCGTTTCCGAAATTGTCGATCGTGGCATCTTCCAAACAAACGACGTCGTTCACCCCATCGAAGTACGCAAATATCAGTTTTGCGTATTTATTAAATGGATTACTAAGTTTTTTCGTAGATTGGAAGGCTAACAACTCTGGCAATACTTTCTTGTAGAAGTTTATTTCGTTCATAAAGTACTCATGATTTCGGCAAGTGAGTCTTCTGGCGAGGTTCTTAGGAACTGTTTTGATTACTACCTGGACGGAATTTATGTTATGGTCCTTATTAACTCCGTATAACTTGATGCGAATAAGTTCACTCACACTTGCGTCACCTTTGCCCAATCCACCCACATACTGAAATGAAAATTTGAGGACATTAATGAAATAAATTATTTGAATTGAAACAATGTGTTTAAAGTAATACGCAGGTGCTAACCGACTTTAAAGAGTGGCCATGAGATTTTATGGCCACTCTTATCATGCGTGAGATATCTCGCATCGTCAATATAAATGATAAATATTTGTACGTTTAAGTTTATAACAGTATGAAGTTACTACAGTTTTCGAATCGCATATTATCGAAAATGCGTTGTAAGTTATATGCAAGTTACTATTGACAGAACACAACACAGCACAGCACGTCAAAATGGATTGCTGATAGACATAAACAGGTTCACCATTTACAATATTTTCGTTAAATATTGTAAATGGTGAACCTGTTTTACTACCCTGACTCTTGATGGTAACACTTTTCTTTCTTTTTCTTTTTTTTAAAGACAACTCCCGCACTAGAAATAAATCCTCTGTCGCGGGGGACTTTACAAACATACATGTAACGGACACAAAGAACTCCCAGACTCAGAACAATAATTTGTGAATCAAACAAAGTGTCGTCCCATGTGGGGATCGGACCCACAACACTCAGCGTAGTAGTGAGCGGCGTGACGACTGCTTATACCACTACGCCATCCGTGCAGTCTGTCCGTGCAGTGAATCTTTATAGATCCAACACCATCATCATCAGACATAGGCCTCTTCTTATAAAGGAGGATTTGGCCTACTATAAAACGCTAAACACACTAAACAAACACCAACAAAATTGATATCCTTATATGCATTTGTCAAAACATAAAGTTTATTACAAAAATCGACCAATTTTTATTTGACACCTGTCATTCTTTTCTATCAAAATTTGAGTTATGATAGCGAATGGTATTACAGTGATAGACACATGCCCATCAAACTGATGCGAGCCATCCACTCGTTTGATACATGATTGTCGCTTACCTAATTTTGTTTGGAGTCGAATTAGTGTATAACATTCAAAGAATTATCTACTTTCTAATATGACCGGTCACCTGCTAGTAACTGACACTCTTAGAGAATGTAATGGTTTCCTCACGGGACTTAGAATTACTAAATTGAGATAAGAAAACCGGATAATACAAGAGAACTAGAACTAGGACGGGCCTGTTGGTCTAGTGGTTAGTGACCCTGACTGCTAAGCCGGAGGTCGTGGGTTCGATTCCCACCCAGGACAAATATTGTGTGATGAGCACGGTCATTTGTTCTGTGTCTGGGTGTAATTTATATTTAATATGTATGTATTTAAATATATATAAGTATGTTTATCAGTAGTCTGGTTACCATAGTACAGGCTCTGTCTAGTTTGGGATCAGATGGTCGTGTGTGAGGTGGGTGTGATATATATATATATATATAAGACCCAGATGAGAAGACTGAACTAAGACTATAGTAATATCTGTATATAAGTCCTATGATTGGAGACACCAGTATGATGTAAACTGGCAAAATAATAACCAACGATAGGTGTAAATAAAACAGAACTTTACCTCCCAATGAGTGAAGGTATGATCCTCTTTAAACCAGTCAGTGAGAGCTTGGCTGAGTCGTTCGTTAGTCACCAAAGGGGACACCTGCAGCAAAGAACTGAAGTTCTCAGGCATGGTCCTAGCTTCTGAAATAATGTGTGTGGAAAGGTACAGTTAGATTTGTGTTAGTAAAATTGAAGTAAGAAGTATACTGAAGCAGAAAATTATACTGTGGTCACGTGAATTCACGGAAACGTGCTTCTTGAAGTGAAAAACAGCTAATCAATCAAACAAATAAAGCACATACTTAATAAAAGTGCATTATACATACAGGGTACAAGAACTGGCACCAGGGACTTTCTTTCTAGGGTATACCTGGTTCCCCGGCTATTAGTACCCGAGACGGCGTGCGGTTTTAGTCGGTTCGAGACCAACATGCCACCGATAGGTGGTATCCGAGGGGATTTGGTTGGAGCGTGGTATAGTGGGCCAGAACCTCCTTCCTAAGGAGAGGCTTATGTCCAGCAGTGGACTAGTAAAGGCTGTTGATGACGAGGGGATTTCCGCAAGGAAAAAAAAAAGAAAAAAAAGGGTACAAGAACTATGAAGAAATTATTACTATGTACAGACTAATTTAATTATGTGATAATTTAATAATATAATCATGCACTGTTATTAAGTATGTGCTTCATTTAATAAGTACAGGTGTCATTTTTAAGTCAATTAAAGACTGAGTTGATTAATTAAATTATTTTTTATTATTATTTAAACCTCTCGGTGTGAACCTGAAATGCTTTCTGTTCAAAATATAATTTTAAAGAAGTAACACATCCAAATGTTTAATAACCATAATTAATATTTTCCACATTTTTTTTTAAACACACTTGTGCTTTTTTTCTTCAATTTAAATGAAACATGATCTGAAATTACATATTTTTTGCTGAAAGCGAATAATTTGTGTATTTTATTTACGACATTGTCGCTGTTTGTAAAATGAAGACCATTTTTTTATTTATTTCCATTTCATTAACAATTTACATTGTGTCTGAAATTCTTCATAAATTGTAGACTACATTCGGAGATAATCGACAATCACTAGTGGGCTGAATTACATAAAAATAACAACAACATTGAATAAATAGTGTGCTAAATGCTACAAAAATACATTTCCAGCCTTTTGACAGCTATATTTAATTTTTTATGGTTTTTTTCGTCTATTTTTAACATTAAATCAGTCTCTTGTTAAATTTGAAGAATGGCAGTTTTCCTTTTCTGCCTGTTAAGCATAGATATATAGTTTATCCTATTACAGTAAATTAATATGTATTATTCAAATACTCACCAGTAGTAGGAATGACTCCTTAAACGTCGACTTAGAATTAAGTTTACAAAATTGTTTATTTTTATTTTTCAAACACGAACGTTCACTGCGCGGTTTCAAATGAACATAAAGTGAACAAATGAAAATGTCATCCTTTTATCAGTGATCCACGTCACTATCTGTATCAAATCACGAACGGATTGACTGCACGGATGGCGTAGTGGTTTAAGCGGTCACCTCGCCGCTTCCTACTGCGATGAGTGTTGTGGGTTCGATCTCCACATGGGACGACCCTTTGTGTGGTCAACAAATGGTTGTTCTAAGTCTTTCCTTTGTGTCCGTTTCATGTATGTTTGTAAAGTCCGCGACACAGGATTTATTCCTAGTGCGGGAGTTGTCTTTAAAGAAAATAAAAACCGGTCAGGTACGAGTCAAACTCGTGCGCCGAGGGTTCCGTACCTACCCAGATTTTACGTAGATTTTCACCAAAATTTGTAAGTACCAAAATTTAACTTAATTATCAACATTTTTAATTTTTTTGGATTTATTCGGGGGTGTGAGGGGCGAACCACCATCTTTCGCCCCAAGCCAACCTCACCTGCCCGCGGTGCATCCTGTTGAACGACGAACGAGGCTCTGGCGACCGACCGATGGCGGTACATCCATCCCAATAGGCCTAGCTAAATACAACAGGCCGGTGACGGGCAGCAGCGTTACCGGTGCGACAAGCTACGCCCTGCGATCGCCAACCCGCCTGCCCAGCGTGGCGATTATGGGCAAACCCCTCCCATGCAGACGCAACAAAGGCCACGGCCCCCAGTTCCCGGCGGCCCCGCTATTCCTGGTCATGGTGGCGACCACGGTAAAGGCGGGGCAGGGGGTGCGAAGAATCTCCGGGCTACGGGAGGCCACCACAACCGACTGACCCTGGCTACGTACAACGGACGCACGCTACGGCTAGACTCGCATCTGGCGCAACTTGAGGTGGAACTTGGGAAGATTAGGTGGCATATCCTAGGGCTATGTGAAGTCCGAAGAGAGGGGGAGGACACCATAACCCTCGAGTCAGGAAACCTAATGTACTTCCGCGAGGGAGACCAACAATCCCAAGGTGGGGTTGGGTTTCTGGTAAATAAGTCCCTATCTGACAACATTGGGGAAATTTCCAGTGTGTCGAACAGGGTAGCGTATCTCATTATCAAGCTCACCGAAAGGTTTAGCCTCAAGGTTGTGCAAGTGTACGCACTGACCTCGGCACATTCGGACGACGAGGTGGAGGATATGTACGATGACATATCGAGGGCCCTCCACTTCACAACTCCAACTCGGCTCCAAGCCATGACAGGATCTGAAACGTTCCAGTCAAAACTTACAAGACGTAAGCCAGAACCTCAAAAATGTGGTTCAGATCCTCAGGGAAGAAGGTATGAGATTTTGTGAAATGCAGCGTAAGGGCAGGAAGTCGAAACTTTCAGAAAGGACCCTAGGGCTGATGAAGAAACGACGTGAAAACCCACCTGTCACTTTGTCGGCAAAGCGGACTCTAAACCGAGAGATCAGTAAACTCGTACGACATGACCTCCGGTGCTCCAATACTCTTTCAATTGAAAGAGCGATCGAGCAAAATCGGGGGTCAAAAGTGTTCGTACAATCTCTTGGAAGAAGCCACCTGACAAAGTTGACTACAGAAAGTGAAGAAGTCGTTGCTTCGAAGCCGGCAGTCCTTTTGGAAGTGGAAAGCTTCTATGGCCGGTTATACGCTTCGCATGCATCTCGACCTGATCCCGAAAATGAGAACTCTAGAGCCACATTAACACGTCACTACACCGAAGACCTGCCAGAAGTTAGCATTGATGAAATCGAGATGGCTCTTGGACAGCTGAAAAATGGAAAAGCCCCTGGAGAGGATGGCGTTACAACAGAGCTGCTGAAGGCCGGGGGTAAACCCGTACTAAGGGAGCTCCAAAAGCTCTTCAACGCTGTCCTGCTTGAAGGGAGAACTCCAGAAGCGTGGAGTAGGAGTGTGGTCGTCTTGTTCTTCAAAAAGGGTGACAAGACCAGGTTGAAGAACTATCGACCCATATCCCTTCTAAGCCACGTCTACAAGCTGTTTTCGAGAGTCATCACGAACCGTCTTGCGCAAAGACTCGACGAATTCCAACCACCGGAGCAAGCTGGGTTTCGGAGCGGATATGGCACCATAGACCACATCCACACAGTGCGGCAGATTATACAGAAGACCGAAGAATATAATCAGCCCCTGTGTCTAGCATTCGTGGACTATGAGAAAGGCTTTGACTCGATCGAGATCTGGTCTGTTCTGGAGTCCCTGCAACGTTGCCAAGTAGATTGGCGATACATCCAAGTGATGAGATGTCTCTACAAAGCCGCCACCATGTCCGTCCAAGTTCAGAATCAGCAAACAAGGCCCGTACCATTGCATCGAGGAGTGAGACAAGGGGACGTTATTTCCCCGAAATTGTTCACAAATGCAATGGAGGACATGTTCAAGACGCTGCACTGGAAAGGGCGTGGCATCAATATCAATGGCGAATACATCTCTCACTTGCGATTTGCAGATGACATCGTCATCATGGCAGAGACGTTGCAAGACCTACAGCAAATGCTGAATGACTTAGCTGACACTTCTGTACGCATCGGCCTACGGATGAACTTGGATAAAACCAAGGTCATGTTCAACGAACATGTACTACCGGAACCGATTGCGGTACAGGGTGCCGTTCTCGAAGTTGTTCAAAATTATGTGTACCTCGGGCAGACATTGCAGTTAGGTAGAAACAACTTCGAGGACGAGGTGAACAGAAGAATTCGGTTGGGTTTGGCAGCGTTTGGGAAGCTACGTCGAGTCTTCTCATCGTCGATCCCACAGTGCCTTAAGACGAAAGTCTTTAATGAGTGCGTCCTACCCGTCATGACATACGGAGCTGAAACGTAGACACTTACGGTACGGCTGGTCCACAAGTTCAAAGTCGCTCAACGTGCTATGGAAAGGGCTATGCTCGGCGTTTCTCTAAGGGATCGCATCAGAAATGAGGTGATCCGGCAGAGAACTAAGGTCACCGACATAGCGTACCGGATCAGCAAGCTGAAGTGGCAGTGGGCTGGCCATATTAGCCGCAGAACCGATAACCGTTGGGGAAAACGAGTTCTTGAGTGGAGACCGCGTCTCGGCAAACGTAGTGTAGGACGCCCACAGGCCAGGTGGAGTGACGATTTGCGCAAGATGGCTGGCAGGAGCTGGATGCGAGAAGCCCAAAATCGATCTAAGTGGCATGCAATGGGAGAGGCCTATGTCCAGCAGTGGACTGCGATAGGCTGATGATGGATGGATGGAATTATTCGTTTATTTGTGCTGTAAGATGTTTCTTTTGCCAAATTCCGTGATTCTAGGTCAACGGGAACTACCACATAAGTGTTAAGGGAACTACCGTATACTTACAAGTTTTAGCGAAAATCGAAATTTGCCCATATCTTTTTATCGTGATGACTCAGGGCCTTGATTTTTATACACCTAATAGGGACCATAGACCTCAGTATCTGATATAAATTTCAACTTGCTAGGTCTACCCGTTCAAGACAGACAAGAAAGTGATCTTTTAAGGGTTTCTTTTTTACCTTTTGAGGTACGGAACCCTAAAAAAAAACAGCATGTCTGGAGAATATAATAAACTTGTACTATCATAAAGGTGTTAATTAATCTACTTTACTTACGATAAAAGTTTAACAAATATACAAACATTACGATAAATCCGGTATTTATGTACTGAGAAAACGCTTAAAATACAAGCCGACTAAGTGTAAGTAAGTAAATGTTTTATTTAACTTATTGTGTTACTTTGTAAGTGTGACTGAACGGATGGTGTAGTGGTTTAAGCGGTCACCTCGCCGCCTCCTACTGCGCTAAGTGCTGTGGGTTCGACTGTGTGATACCACAAATTATTCCTTTGAGTCTGGGTGTTCTTTGTATCTGTTTCATAAATCTGTATAAAGTTCCCAACGATACAGGATATTTGCCTAGTGCGGGAAATGTTTTTAAAAATGTTTCACCAAGTACAGGCCGGCGTGATACCACGGAAAACCCATGTTGCTGTTAAGTTAATTTTTCGTTGCTTTTTGCACCTGCTTCTCTTGAGTTATAGGTTGTGGAGGATGGAGGTAGGCACTTACCATCAGGTGATAAGTATGTTCGTTTGCAAACTATGTTATAAAAATAGCCACAAATTTTGCTAGAATTGCTAAAAGAAACCAAACCTTAAAACAAAATTACTTGAGACATCTTATACGGCCGTCTGATCCTAAGTTAGTCCGGTTCTGTGTTGTTGAATCACGACTTCTGATAAACATACTTACAGACACATAATACATATTTAGTACAGGATGGGCGGCGTAAAATATCTTCTTATAAAAAAAAAAGAAACTGGTTGATTTTTCAATGGAATAATTCAGGTAAAAGTATTAGTTAAAAAAATGCTTTGGAAAAATCTATTCGTGGCTTATTATTGAACAAAAATCGGTCAGGTTCGAAAAACCGGTTAATTGAGAAAAAAAACAGGAAAACGAAAAGAAGGTTGTAGTGTGAGAATAAACGAAGAAAATGAGAGTGGCTGAAATCAAATTCGTAGAGACTTTACCAGAAAACACTCTTTTACGTCTAAAAAATTGCGGTTTTTTTTCGTTTTTTTTTCAATAACTTGCAACCAATTTCCAAAGTATTTCTTTTAACTAATACTTTTACCCAAATTTATAATATAAATTTAATAATGACAATATAAAAGCATTTTTTGATTATATTTATTGATTATAATTTTGTACTCAACATACAAACATCATGGTCGGCGTTTCTCTAAGGGATCGCATCAGGAATGAGGTGATCCGGCAGAGAACCAAGGTCACCGAGATTGCCTACCGGATCAGCAAGCTGAAGTGGCAGTGGGCTGGCCATATTAGCCGCAGAATCGACAACCGTTGGCGAAAACTAGTTCTTGAGTGGAGACCGCGTCTCGGCAAAGGCCACCTGGCCAGGTGGAGTGACGATTTGCGCAAGATGGCTGGCAGGAGCTGAATGCGAGAAGCCCAAAATCGAGCTAAGTGGCGTGCAATGGGAGAGGCCTATGTCCAGCAGTGGACTGCGATAGGCTGATGATTATGATGAAGACTCAACATACTTTTGCCCTCGGTTTCGCTCGCATTAAAGATGATTTCATAGGTCCATGTTGTCGAAATAAAAAGTTATTGTAGATTATAACCAATCTCAGTGCAAAATGTAGTCCCGTTTAAACATTAATCATCCAACCTTTCTCTTTTAAAATAGTATTAAGATTTATGTCAGATACAATAGATAAAATAAAAGAAATTCTATTCAATTATTGTTTTTAGGGTTCCGTACCTCAAAAGGTAAAGAAGGAACCCTTATAAGATCACTTTCTTGTCCGTCTGTCCGTCTGTCTGTGTGTCACCTATTTTATACGGGAACGGGTATAACCAGCAAGCTGAAATTTATACCAAATACTGAGGTCTATGGTCTCTATATAAAAAGATATGGGCAAATTTCGATTTTCGCGAAAACTTGTAAGTACCATTTACCTTAATTTTCAACTTTTTTATTTTTCAGAATTTTCTCTTAACTTGTGCTGTAAAACCTTGCTTTTAACCAAAATTGACAATTCTAGTACTAGTACTAGTAGTTTCTCAACCGGAAGTACCCTATAGATTTTGGGTCGAAAACCTATATGGTAATTCCCGTTGACCTAGAAACGTCTTACAGCACAAATAAAGGAATAATTCCAAAAAATAAAAAAAGTTGAAAATTAAGATAAATTTTGGTACTTGAAAATTTTCGCGAAAATCTACGTAAAATCTTTGTAGGTACGGAACCCTTGGCGCACGAGTTCGACTCGTACCTGACCGGTTTTTTTTTAAATAAAAAGTAAGAGAGAGAGTTTTTTTAAAATCACGTATGGCAGATAAATTGTATTAAATTAAAACACATCACAATCTGTTGGTTAATGACCAGACCAGGGCTATCACGATAAAAGGATTATTGTGTAATTCAAACTATCTTTTATTATATAGCTCTGTCAACATTAAAAAGAAACTGGTTTAAACGATGTAAGCTTATTTATTAATATTATCTTATGATATTGTCAGTTATCAGTCGCGTGAGTTTACAGTTTCAAACTACTTGCAGCAAGGTACGTTTATGAAATTTTTCTCTTCTTCTACTTTGACGAATGTTAGTTATTCGCATTATTTATTTATTTATTTAAGGATCTTCAACAAGAATATCACATAGCATTCACAGAGAATAATAAATTATTGATCTGGTGTATTCTTAATTACAGAAGATCACAATCTGATTTGTGATTCCAAATGTTTCCAAATTTGGAATCACAAATTATTATTACACAAATTAGAAGTAAATAAATTCAATTAAATTAAAATTACTGTTAAATTCATTAAGTCAATTCAAACAATAATAACATTGCAAAATTTAATACTGTTAATATGGTTAACAATTAAATAGTCAACAATATAAGATTATATCCAGTTACATTGATAGTATATAAGTAAGTAAGAAAAAGCAAAATTAGATATACCTGAAAGTAGACATTCAAATTGTAAATCTATGTACTTACAGTGAAATTAGTCTAGAGAAATTTTTGCATATGTAGTGGTGTGTATATTACTCAGATCTTAGAGCGCGTTTCCACTATATCGTTCTGGCCTATACAAAAATGTTTCGATATCCTAACATTACTATTTAATTTTATACTTATCCCTAGCAACACTCTGATTTTTGTTTTCAATAAAAACAAGTTTTTATTTTAAAGAAAAAGGTTTTGACTTTATAAAAAAAAGGTGTGTGTGCGATTCACACACGATAGAAGTGAAACTTCAAAGAGGAGAGACCGATATTTAATTTTTTTTTTCCTTTCATCTAGGTTTTTAAAACTCCAGGGGGTCTGCGGGGGGGTCAAAATTTTTGTTATTTTTGGCCTAGGACGCACCGTTTCCAAGATATTTCAATCTAAAGCAAAAAATCGTCACTTGATAGTGGAAAGTGGAAACACGCACAAAACCAGAATAAACCAGTTTACGCTGTCCGCTACGTACACTACTACAAACGCAAAAATTTCTCCAAGCTAATTTACCTGTAGGTCTTTAGCTATATATATACTTATTCATTTAGTAGCCATATTGAAGGGCTTCAAAATTAGCAATAAGAAAAGCAAAATGCTTTTTGTTGGTATCCTTGTCGGAGTTCCGATCTTGCTACATTATAGTAATCTGTGGTTTCAACAATCGTTGTGGTTGGTTTGTCCGTGTAGTAACGGATTAAGAATACAGAGTGTCACCACCGCTATTCATCCCGTGGGTGTCGTAAGAGGCGACTAAGGGAGCGAAATACGCAGGACAACAGCACTGCAGAGAGAAGGAAACCTATACACAGACCCTATACCAACCCGTCTGGCCAGCGTGGCATAGTAGGCCAAAACCTCTTTTCTAAGGAGAGGCCTATGTCCAGCAGTGGACTGTTAAAGGCTGTTGATGTGTGTGGTTCCAATACTTACGGTCGCCCAAGTTCAGACGCATTGTGCCATCTGTTATCGAGTAACAATACAAATCGAATATCCCAATATTAAAGAATAATAATTAATCGATATTCTGAAAGTTTCCAAATGTCAATTAGACCGATTATTACGAGAATTCTAATTTTCGGAAACTTTCTGTGATATAACACTGGATTATACAAGAAGACTGCTGATATGGACACATTCTAGTTCTGCTATACAAGTTGTAAAGAAGGGTAAAGAATGACAAAGAGAACAAGCGAATATCTTTGTTTTGAGGGGGAATCGTTGTAAATTAGAGATTGTTGATTTTCGCTATAATATCAATAAATATCTATATAATCACAAATAAATGTTAAGTTGGTTTGTGTACGCCTCAAAAACTCAAAAAGTTCTGCACCCATTGAGCTCAAATTTTGACACGATATTCAACACGTTTCAGAGATGGGTTTTATCTATTTTAACGAAACATAATGTGCCACAGCGAAGTGTGGCAGGGTACAACCTGTTGTAGGATATGTTTAATAATTTTGTATTAAGTTAAACTCAAGTCTTACAGTCTACAAACTTTTATGAAGCATCTTTTATGTTTAACAGCAACACATTAGAACATTTTAAATCGTCAGATTTCGCGAATTCACATTGTAAAAGTTTTACTGTAATAGAGAGACATACAAACGTTGAAACTGTATTCATATAAATATTTACTACCATTATCTGTTATTTGTATTAGATTACAAATCATAGCTACAATGTCGTCTTCAATACAGCGTTTTACCGCGTCTTAGTCCTTTTAATGTAGATTTTTCTTTGAAACAATTTAGTTAGAACCGTACTTTTAACTGGCAAGAAAGTTATCTTCTTTACTGTTCTTTTTTTGTACGTATGGAAACCCCTTGGAGCCATCACTCCCTGGGTTTTTAGCTGCGTCGGTGCATCGGAATTGAACCGACTAAAAGCACACGGGGTGCCATACTGCGAATAAAATAGGAGGTATTTGGGTACCTCTTTTATTAAGAGGTTTATTTGCGTAAAAGCTCAAGTTTAGGCTACGTCCACGCACACGCTGACGTCATCTCCTCGCGGGTGACCACTAGGTGTCCTATATGGGAACGGTAGCTAAGGCAACAAACAAAAACCTTTCATTTTATTTATAATTCTGATTAATGCTTATGACTGTTTGACGATCAATAGTCCTTAACGTTCTATTTTGTTTACTTAGAAAATACTTTCAACGATAAGATCGCCCTTTCTGTTACCTTCATTGTGTTTTACAAATAGACAAGTAATTGTTAAGAGGGCTCGGACTTTGGTTAGAAGCAACAGTCATCAATCATCAACAGCCTTAATAGTCCACTGCTGGACATGGGCCTCTCCTAAGAAATAAGGTTTTGGCCTACTATACCACGCTGGCCAGACGGGGTATAGGGTTTGTGTCAAATTTTCCTTTTTTTTGCAGTGCTGGTGTCCTGCGTTGTTTTGCGCCCTTAGTCGGCTCTTACGACACACGCGGGATGAATTGGGGTAGTGACATTCCGTATTCTTAATCCGTCACTATACGGACACTACTTATCAATCCGTCACTACACGGACACTACTTATCAATCCGTCACTACTTACCTATATTATGAATGTGGAAGTGAGTTTGTTTGTTAAGCTATCACGCCTAAACCGATTTTAAAATTTCTCTCACCAATGGAAAGCTACATTATCAGCGAGTAGACTACTTTTTATCGCGATAACTGATATACAAGATAGCTAGTCTCGAGTAGGTCAAGTCGCATAAATAAAACTATAGTTCGTTCGCGTTAAGAATGCGGTGAGTCATCACTGCAACTGCAGCGTAAAGGTATATTCACCATGGTATTAAAATTCTAACAAATAATATTGTTACGAGCTGGGTATATAAATACCCATACCATAAACGCACTAGATGTTACTTCAGTCCGATATTAATTCATCACACATCACATAAACAGCCTATAATTAGTCCACTGCTGGACATAGGCCTCTCCTTATAAAGGAGGTTTTGGCCTAATAAAATGTTAATTCACAGTGTCGTAAAACGAAACTGTCGAGCGGAGACAGTTTCATTTTCGCTTTTATTGCGCTTTTGAATTTTACTAGAAAGTTCTTAGTATTCGACAGACCGTCAAACAAACACGAAAATTCCAGAATCAGTCACGCGTTACTTGCAGCGCCATCTAGCACTGCAAGGATCAGAACTACTCGTATTAACCACAATCTTAATAGATGTACTTTAGTCGATACTAGACAGCGCTGTCATCCACATTTCATACAATCGAACTATTTGATCCTATGGCGCAGCAATATTTTCAAAGACTAATTATAATCTTTATATATATAATTCTTCTGTGAGTGTGTATGTCACTGAACTTCTCTCAAACGACTGGGCCGATTTTGATGAATTTTTTTGTGTGTGTTCAAGGGGATCTGGGTGCCGTGTGGTTCTCGGCGGAGTAGAATAAGGCCAACCCATCTCTTCCCGTGGGTGTCGTAAAAGGCGACTGAGGGAATCTTTTGGACTGTTTATCATCAGACAGTATATATACAGTTCGTGCGGTACTTGTCCTGGTAGCCTCTCCAACCGCTGGATATTGGTACATACCGCAGTCTAAGTCCTGTCTCCCATCCTAGTACTGCGGTATTCGCCCACCCTAATTTTCCTCTCTCATCCAATCCCCTCAGCCCTGATGTTTCCTTTTTTCCCTTCCCTATCGTATAAACGACTACATTCCCAAGGAGGGTTGGCGACAGGCAGGCGGCCGGCCATAAAAATTAATTAGCCAAAACCACTATAATGCAGTATAAGTATGATGGAAATTGAGTGCGACAGTGCTAGGGCGTACCCCGTAGGCGACGCGCGGCAGCAGCACCCGGCTACGCGAATAAGTGGACAAGGGTTGTTGCACCACCCGAGGCGGGTGCAACGTAAGAAGCAAGCCCGAGAGGTGAGGATGAGGTATGCAAGTTGGAATGTAGGGACTATGACTGGAAGAGCGAGAGAGCTAGCAGATGTGTTGAAAAGAAGAAGAATAAACGTGGCATGCTTGCAAGAAACAAAATGGAAGGGTACGAAAGCAAGAGAGATAGGAGAGGGGTACAAGTTTTATTACTGCGGAAGTGATGGGAAGAGAAATGGAGTGGGCGTAGTATTGGATAGTGCCCTGAAAGAGTGTGTGACGGATGTAAAGAGAGTGAACGATAGAATAATAGTATTAAAATTAGTATGGGAGAGCGTAATTATGAATATTGTTAGCGTGTATGCACCTCAAGCTGGATGCAAGGATGAAGTGAAAGAAAAATTTTGGGCCGATTTTGACATGGTTTTGATAGGTATCCCTGAAAGTGAAGAACTTTTGATAGGTGGAGATTTTAATGGTCATGTGGGAACAACGAATGAGGATTATGAAAGAGTACATGGAGGAAGGGGGTTCGGAAGTAGAAACATTGATGGTGAGTCTCTGCTCCAGTTTTCCTCTTCGTTTGACCTGGCAATAGTTAACACATGGTTCCAAAAACGTCACGAACATCTGATCACGTATAAAAGTGGTAGCCACGCGACACAGATCGACTACTTTCTCATAAAAAGAAGTAAGTTGGTTTGTGTCCGAGACTGCAAAGTGGTGCCCGGGGAACCCGTAGTATCGCAACATAGATTGCTGGTAATGGTTGTCAAATGGAAGAGTTTGAGCAAGAGTAGGAAGAACCGACCTTCTCCAAGAATCAGGTGGCGAATGTTAGAGAAAGAAGAGTATGCAAGTAACTTTAAGGTAAAGGTGGTAGAAAAAATGATTGAAATGAATGCAAGGCTAGATAAGTCTGTGGATGGATGGTGGAGTGAAATGGCAAATTATATACGAAAGATAGCGAGAGAAGTACTTGGGGAAACAAAAGGAAAAGGCATTATTGAAAGAGAGACATGGTGGTGGAGTGATGAGGTACAGAAAGCTCTAAAAGAAAAGAAGGATGCCTTTAAAGCGTGGAAAAATGAAAAGGTCTGTGAGAGAATGAAGGAAGTCAAAATGAATGAATATAAAGAGTGGAAGAAAAAGGCAAAAAAAGCGGTAGCGGTAGCCAGAGCTAAAGCTCAATATAACATATTTAAACACCTACATGAACCTAGCGGTCAAAAAGAACTCTACCGCATTACAAAGAACAGGGAAGAAAGAGCAAAAGACCTGAAGCATGTGAGATGTATAAAAGATGAAGAGGGGAGAGTGTTGGTTAAAGATGAAGATATAAAAAAGCGATGGAAATCTTACTTTGAAAAACTTATGAATGAAGAGAATAAATGGAGCGGAGTGCTAAAGCATGTGGATGTGAATGTCGGACTAGTGAACGAGATTAGTATAGATGAAGTTAGATTGGCAGTACGAAGTATGAAAAATGGAAAAGCAGTTGGCCCCGACGGTATACCAGTGGAAGTTTGGAAGCTACTGAAAGAAGACGGATATAAGTGGCTGACTCTATTCTTCAATATGTTGTTGCTTGAAGAGGTAATCCCAAAGGAATGGTGTCAAACCCAACTCGTACCCATTTTCAAAAACAAAGGAGATGTTCAGGAATGCAACAACTATCGAGGAATAAAGCTCATGTCACATACTATGAAAGTCTGGGAGAAAGTGATTGAGAGAAGAATAAGAGATGAGAGTCAGATAACCCAAAGTCAATTTGGGTTTATGCCAGGACGCGGGACAACAGATGCTATATTTGCAATGCGCCAACTATGTGAGAAATACAGGAGTGCGCACAAAAACTTGCATATAGTGTTTGTGGATCTCGAAAAGGCATATGATAGGGTACCCCGAGAGGTTTTGTGGTGGGCTTTGAAAGAAGAAAGAGTGCCTGTTAAGTATGTAGAATTGATTCGTGCTATGTACAGAGAGGCTAGCACTCATGTAAGGTCGGTCACGGGAAACACTGATCAATTCAGTGTCTCTGTAGGCTTGCACCAGGGATCAGCTCTGAGCCCATACCTCTTTTTGTTGATAATGGATGCTCTGACATCGGACATACAGGAGGAGGCACCTTGGTGCATGCTATTTGCAGATGACATTGTGTTGGTCGGTGAGGATGGGGTTGAGGTCCAGAGCAGACTGGAAAAATGGCAACAAAGGCTGGAGAATGTTGGCTTGAAAATCAGCAGAACCAAAACTGAGTACATGTTCTGCGATTTCGGCGGTCTCTCCAGTCCTGAAACCATTTCGCTGGATGGGATAGCGATAACAGTCTGCTCCAATTTCAAGTACCTCGGCTCCCTCTTACAATGTGATGGTTAGATTGATCGAACTGTACAGCATCGAATCAATACGGGATGGATGAAGTGGCGGCAGGTAACGGGAACAACTTGTGACCCCAGTTTCCCCTTAAAACTGAAGGGACAAATTTATAAAACTATTATCAGACCTGCCGTACTGTATGGTTCTGAAAGTTGGCCCATTAAGAGAACGGATGAGAGACGCCTGAACGTAGCCGAAATGCGAATGCTGAGATGGATGTGTGGTGTGACTCAGATGGACAAGGTTAGGAATGAGTATATACGAGGGAGTCTGAAAGTAGCGCCACTGGATGAAAAGTTAAGAAGTAATAGGTTATCTTGGTATGGACATGTCATGCGGAGGGATGAGGAAAATGTGGCGAAGAAAGTTTTAGGTATGAGAGTTGAAGGGTATAAGAGAAGAGGCAGACCGAAGAAAAGGTGGATGGACTGCGTGAGGGAGGATATGGCTAGCAAGGGAGTAAACAGTGAGATGACGCATGACAGAGTAGAATGGAAAAATCATACATACTGCGCCGACCCCAAATAAAATTGGGAAAAGGGTAGGCAGATGATGTTCAAGGGGATCTGGGAATGGTTTAGATTCACAATTTTGAATGGTAAGGGTGACCCATCCCTAATTTTTTTTTTGTTGCAATACAACGTTTGCCGGATCAGCTAGTAGATTTATAAAAATACACTTAACTTTCTAATTAGGAATGATTTGATTGGTTACGGGGCGTAGCAAGGCCGGCGGACGATGACGATTCATCACTGCATTCTTAACGCGAACGAGCTATGGTAGGTTTTATTTATGCGACTTGACCTAGTCGAGACTCGAGCTATCACTTACAATCCATAATCCCTATTAGCCTTCCACCCTTCTTCGTCTGCCAACGTTGGGCTGATATAAGGCTGCGTAAACGGCTAGGAGGGGTCCTAGTACTGCGAAGTAATGCTAGCGCGGTCCCGCGGTTCTAGGTACAAGAAAGAGGAGGTTTTTAGTGGGTAAGAATCAACATCTTAACAGCTGTCTTTTGAAGATTTCCTCCTCTCAAACACCATAAAAAAACCTTAGCAGTATCCCTTTCTTACCATATAACGGAAGTGTGACTAAAATTAAACCTCCTTTCTAAGGAGAGGCCTATGTCCAGCAGTGGACTAGTATAGGCTGTTGATGATGATGATGATGATGTGACTAAAATTATAATCGACAAGATGTAAATGTTATGTTATAAAAACTGCAGTGAAATAAGGTGTGACAAAATAAAACACGCCTTAAGTTAATCATTTATTTATAAAAATCAAATTTTAATGTAACAAAGTTAAAATATGTATGTATAAGTCAGGTAAAATAATTAAGCAAAAAATAAATAAGTAAAAATTATATATTATATTGAGGTGATTGATATGCACGGTTTTTTATAAGATCCACTTAAGTGAGTGTGTAAAAGAACTCTAATGGGACCCTCACCATATCTTACTACTAGAAACTACTTTATAGCTATATATATGTATAATACTAGCTTATACCCGCGGCTCTACCCACGTAAATGTCAGTAATCGCGGTCCTCACGAATCAAAGTATCTCCATACCAAATTTAATAAACATCGGTTCAGCGGTTATTGATTACACATACAAACTCCTCCCCCTTTTCATCCCCTTGATGATGAATTCTGGAATAAAAACTACCCTATGTCCTTACCCGGGACTCGGACAATCTCCATATCAAATTACATCTAAATCGGTTCAGTGGTTTAAGCGTTAAGAGATAACAGACAGACAGACAGAAAGACAGACACACTTTCGCATTTATAATATTAGTATGGATTAGTACAGATTACTACTATATTATTAGTGAGACAGACACGTTTCGGCACACATGGGTCAGACTCTTCCGGAGTACTGTCACAGCCTCACATAAACCAGGTGTAAAACCAGTTATTTCGTTGCCTTTCACCTAGTAAGTGAGGTTACCAGAGTCCAAACCCTCCCCCTACCCCTGATTCTGGGGAAGGGACTGATAGAGGAAAGAAAGAAGAAAGAAAACATATTTTTGTTCCTGAAATACACGACGGCTTTCACCAACGAATTTTCACAGCTATTGCTTTGATAGCTGTGAAAATTCGTTGGTTTTTCAAAGCAAAACTACACATCACACATCAACAACAGCCTTTAATAGTCCACTGCTGGACATAGGCCTCTCCTTAGAAAGAAGGTTTTGGCCTACTATACCATCTATACATCACTAATTACATAAAATAAAAGTGGCAGCCCTGTGCCAAAAGGTATGGTTTCAGATGTGCCGTGTCACACACATATGTCGAGGCAGTTTATTTTTTGTTGGAACATTAGTTACAGAATCCTTTTGCGTCCAGTTAGAGTGGCAACGCTGTTATGACTCTTGATTGACCGGAGTCCATCGGCGGCGGTAGTCACTTAACATCAGGTGACATATCTTTTTATTTACCTACTGTACCATGAAAAAAAGAAGTAGACAAAATTCCATTATTTAATAATTTTCACACCACTAACTAAACGTTTTCAGTGTTTTTTTATTCAAGTAGCAAAAGTCTAGACTGCATCGCCTGCGTCTATTTCTAAGAGAAATATAGTCACATCTAGCGCCATCTAGCGAAGTCAAGTAAAACTAATTGATTTCTATGGGTGTTTCTATGTATAAAATGTATGTATTTACAAAATATATATATGTATGTATGTATTTACTTGTCTAGTACCCATAGTTCAAGCTCTGCTTAGTTTGGGACTAGATAGCGTTTGTGAATGTGGCAGAATATTAGTATTATTTCTTATTTCAAAAGTCACATTAATTCTCTATAACATAGTTTTTTTTACTAAATAGTAAATATAAGTATATATATATATATATATATATACATATATATTACGTACATTTTACACTATATTTACAGTACTATAAGGCATTTATATATATCCTCTGTCAACGCAGTGTTTGACATTGTTCGCCTCTCGGAGTCTACCCTCTTTTGTCTTGAAGTTGCCCACGCGCCATACATCATTAATATTTAATTTCTCATCACCCTGAAACAAAAAAATATATAAAATAGCCGTTATATATTGCACTTCCTATTAAAGTCTTTAAGTTAGTATGGCCTTACAGAAAACACCGGTGTTAGCTGCTTTTTACTTAGTGAGCGAAGTTTCCGAAGGTATAACTTAATAACCACTAGAATTTTCTACTCAGGGGTGGTATTTCCTGTTCTGAATAGGACTAGCAAGTAAACCCTCCCGCATAAATAAAGAATTTTCGAAATTTTTCATGAATGACAGAGTTCTGAAGTAATAAATATAAAAAATATAACCGAATTGAAAATCCCTCATTTTATTAAAGTCGTTTTGAAAGTGATGCACAGAAAGACAGATAGACGTGGTGGGGATTAATAAAGTTAGTAGTGATTTAGTTGTGTGATACAGCTATTTTGTGGCGATATAATCGACTACCTCGGTGGCGCGTATTCCCGGTTCGGACTAAATGTTTGTATGATCTGCAAATATTTGGTTCGAAGTTTGGATGTTTTCTATGTATAATATGTATGTTTTTACAAAGAAAAGTATATAAGTATTCTATCAGTCAATCTATCTTTCATAGAACAAGCTCTGCTTAGTTTGAAACTAGATGGCGTTGTGTGCGAGATGTCCGAAAATATTATTACTATAACCAACGCCATCTAACGTCACTAGCTAAAACTACTTAGTAATTAAAGCTTTTTTGTATTTAGTAAATTAATGTTTAAGCTAGATTAACTACTTTTATATTATCTTCATACCTCCATTTCCATATTAACAGCATCCTCAGGAGCCAACACGATGAAAGGAGTGGACTCAAAACTAAAAGCTAGACCAAAATACGAATACTTCTTAATTTCTGCCATAAATAATTCCCAAGAATATAACTTATCCGGATCACTGCCCAATTCCCTGATGTGATCGGAAAGTGTATCGTGGTATAATTTCAGTAGCTCATCATAATACTTGTCTCTCAAATCTTGAGAAGTACAAGCGCAAATAATAAAAGATATATCCAGGACAGGACTTGCACATCTTGTTATTTGAAAATCAATGAGTTTGGCATCAACTGGATGCCCATTTACATATTTAAACAAGAAATTATTCGTCCAACAATCACCATGCGATATTACACCAGTTTCAACGGTTTTTGTTGCTGCATTTATCATATCTTGGTACCTTTCTGGAACGGCAAACTGCTTAACTTTCTCCAAATAAATAGAATTCGGGTACTCCTTTTCTACTGCGTCGATGGCAATACCAGAAATTCTTTTCCAGAATTCAGTGTACCAATCCCAAAGACGTTCATCATAGTAAGTTTCGAAAATAGCATTTCGCAGTTTCTCAAATTTCTCAGGCTCCTGGTCTTTCATTGCGAAGGATAAGCTATGAAACCGCGCAAACACTTTCATTATTATTTTACAGTGATCTAAATCTATGCCTTCTTGACGAACAGCGCCTCTAAAACCATGTAAATTAGCATCTTCAAGACAGATGACGTCATTACTCCCGTCAGATTGAGCAAAAACTAATTTTGCGTAGTTATCAAAAGGTTCTTTTACATTTTTTGTGGATTGAAACCTCAATAATTCTGGTAGGACTACCTCGTAGAAACCAATTTCGTTTTTATAAAAATCGTAGGCTCGGAATTTCAGTTTTCTAGAGATGCTTTCAGGCATGTACTTGAGAACGACTTGGGCGTAGTTCTCTTTACCGTTGTTGTTGACGCCGTATATTTTGATTCGAATAACTTCGCTGTGGTACGCGTCACCCTTACCCGTATCACCAACATACTGAAACATATTAAAATAAACAGTTTTACTAACGCGTATATTGCGGAGACGCCCGACTAGTCTGGGACCATTTTTTTAGGAGTAAAACTTCCTGATGCGACGGTTTGTGAAGTGAATGAGAGAGTGACGCCTGAAACCTTCTAGTCCTGACCTGATTAGTTTGATTTATTACATTACTAGCTTTTAGCATGTATGTCGATCATCGCGGTAAATAGTAGCTTATGTCCTTCCTTAACAATCAAAACATTCTCCATACCAAATTTCATCTAAATCGGTACAGCGGTTATTGATTTCCCATACAAACCACCTTCATCCACCCCCTTTTCACCCCATTTAAAAAATAATTGCTGGGATAAAAACTATCCTATGTCCATTCTCGGGACTCAAACTAGCTTTATACCTATTTTTACCTAAAGCAGTTGAGCGGTTTAAGAGTGAAGAGGTAACTAACAGACAGAGTTTCGCATTTATAACATTATTATGGAAAGGGGGTCAAACTAGTGTAAAATATCTAGTAATTTTCCCCTCCACTAAATGGGCTCCAGAGATGAAGTGTAGCTTGTGTAGGTACCTATAGTTTTCATTTGTTTATTTACAAAGGCGCTAGGAAAATAAAGGTATATCTGACCTCCCAACGAGTGAAGGTGTATTCTTCTTTAAACCAATCTGTGAGAGCTTTGTTCAGTCTTTCGTTCGTCACCAACGAGCAGACATGGGTAAGAGAGGTGTAGTCTTCAGACATGATGGCTGACACTGAAACAGGGAAAGAAGGAAGTATTAAAAGTTATTACATAAATATTACACTACGTATTTATATTCGTACTGATCTTATGTCACAAAGAGTACCTATTTTATTTTTTTTGTAATAGGTACATGTAAAATATCGGATATGCAATACTCAACGTTTTTTAAAATTACTTTTTTTTTTGTAATAATAATATATATTTTATTGTCCATGCATATTTCATTCATACTTTGAAATAATAAAAAAAACAATAAACTAAGAAAGAAACTGAATAGCCAAAAAATAATCTCGTATAATTGACTTATTAGCCTATTACACAATAATAACCATATTTTTTATTCCGCGTTATTAGATACACACAAACAAGCAAATTAATGTTTCGTAAACTGGAACGATGGCGGCCGAATGCGTGATGTTAACGACGCGACAAATCCTTTCGCCGAAATGTTTTTAAATTTCAATTATGTTTCTATGTTTTTCGCCGAATTTGTATTTATCAGTTTAAATGCAAATTAAAGTCAGTTATACTGTTAAGCTCCTTATAAAAGATATTTATTCAGCAAAGCAACTGCAAAACGGAGTTAACAGAATGATTGCATATCAGCAGTGTAAAAAGAAATAATAAAACACAAATGTGGTCTGTGAGAATGACACACTGCACAATTAGCCATAGATCAATGGCAACTAGTACTCGATAATATAACGCCTTAAAAAGCTTTCAACTGTACTGACGACCAAGACCAGTTTTCTGCCTAAATTACGTTAACAATACTAAAACTTCATTGATTTCTAAATGTATTTTTAGAAGAGCGTTTTATATAAAAACGCTGGTCGTTCAACAATCCTTTTAACATTAGTACAGAATCCAACCAAAGAAGCGTTAGTTACAATAATTATACGAATCAAACGTTTTTTTATCGCTGTCTGAATCATAGAGATATAAGCATAGAAAGACACGGGGTACAGCTGCCTGTTAGCGGAAGCGATACAGACAACGAGAGAGATGCCCATAGTTCCCTCTGTCTCTCTTTAGCTAAGCTGCGATTGGCTATCGTGAAGTGGCATGGTTTTGATCGTAGAACAGGCGGGAGATTATAAATTTCCCCAGCCAACCACAGAGCTCGACTAAAAAGAAATAGAGGGAACATCTATTATCCATTTCTCTCTTTGCCTATATTGCAAGATTAGGGCTCTTGTTCACTCTATAGTCTGATTCACGCGAAGAGTGGGTTTGAGAAACGTCACAAATATCTAATCAATTTAAACTGTCTGTCGTAGTACTTTAACCTCACTAGGCGGTTATAAGGTTATCAATTCGGATGTTTTTTTTTAAATATATGTTCGATCATAACTCCATCATATATGTATATAGACGGATTTGCAAAATACTTTTTGAGTTTATTCCGAAATGGTCTCATTTAAATTTCAAATAGATCTGATGATGAGTTCCGGAAACAGACAACGGAACTCTTCAAAAAATGACAGGAAATCAACCGCAATTACTTCAAGGTTTTTAGTGCTCTTTTTTAGTAGCGGTTCAACATTTCAAAAGGATTAATTAAAATAAATTACTTTTTAAAGTATACTAATCATCATCGTCCTAACTATATCATCATCGTCATCATCAACAGCTATTAATAGTAAACTGCTGGACATAGGCCTCTCCTTAGAAAGGAGGTTTTGGCCTACTATACCACGCTGGCCAGACGGGTTGGTATAGGGTTTGCTTCAAGTTTTCCTTCTTTTTGCAGTGCTGTTGACCTGTGCAGTTTGTTCCCATAGTCGGCTCTTACGACACCCACAGGATGAATAGGGGTGGTGACATACCGTATTGTTAATCCGTCACCACAACCACCACCGTCAACTATATAATAACTAGTAATAAAAAATACTATCAGTGATGGCCCAATTAAGATATAAGATAACACAAAATGCGGCTATTAGCGGCCTTTTTACACTGTGGTAATCTTTATTTCTTTTTTATCTTTATTGGCATCCATGGATAGAGAATACACGTTCAGTATATTATTTAAGTAAATGAATTATTAGATACAATATAAGAGTGCAAAGACAAGTACACAAGTAGGTATTGCCTGTGTACTTGTATCAACACTTACATAACATATTCTACACATAGATATCTTTTAATATTGAGTTTATTTGTTTGTTTAGTACTCTGACTACATCCATAGTTATGGTTTAAATTCTAGCCTTGTTTCATTGCGGTTTATCAATTCCTTGATCAAAACATGAGAACACTACATGTTTTTTTATTAGCCATGTGTTAATATAGGGTGTCAGCTACCTCCATACCAAATTTTATCAAAATTGGTAATACCGTTTCAGCATGACGAAGTAACAAACATTCAAACACACACATTTCCAAATTTTCACCTTTACAATATTATTGTGATGATGATCCTGACTGCTAAGCTTACTCTTGTGGGAGTAACTGTCACCATCATCATCTCTGTGTTTGCATGTAGGTACTATACTACAGACTTTACCTCGTTTGTCTGTAAAAAAGTACCTAGTGGGTTTGATTTCCTCATCCTATGGAAGTGTAATAGTATTATCATTGGTCTGTTTTTATTATAGTATAACCTAGCAAACGAGCGATTATAAAAATAAATTATATAATATTCTACCACATTCATATAACGCCATCTAGTCCCTAACTAAGCAGAGCATGTACTATGGGTACTAGACAACTGATAAAAATACATATATATTTTTTTTTTTGTAAATACTTACTTATTATACATAGAAACACCCAGACCAAATCAAACATTAAATGTTCGAATCGAACCCGCGACCTTTGGAATAACAGTCCGTTAAACAAACCACCACGCCATTCGGTCGTCGATTGAAAAAAGACATACATTAGTCCTATATATCTATATCCTGTGTCGCGGGGGACTTTACAAACATACATGTCACGGACACAAAGAACACCCAGACTCAGAACAACAATTTGTGGATCACACAAAGTGTTGTTCCATGTGGGGATCGGACCCACAACACTCAGTGTAGTAGTGAGAGGCGTGGCGACCGCTCAAACCACTACGCCATCAATGCAGTCGTAGTCTGAATGCAAGATTCACAAGTGCGTTGCCTCCTTTGAAGCCTCTGCTCCAGGATCAGAGGGAGGTTTGGGCTCCGGTACCTCAGTCACTTAGTGAAAAGCAAAAGCAGTATTGCCTAACACTGCTTTTCTGTGAGGCCATGGTATCAGTCTGGTCGAGCTGGTCCATTAGAATTGTAGATAGTTTTTTTTTATAGCTAGTGTTGTACCAATACTGTGTGTATTTCATGTTCATTACTCATATTTCTGTAACGACTATCATAAAAGAATATTATTGTAATAGTAGATTCTCTTTACAAACAAACATTAAAAAGAGAGAGAACCATTAAATATTATGCATTATATATTTTTATGTAAACAAAAAAGGTCCATTCTCTTTACCAGCCTTTTTCTAGCTTCAAGCAGTCCAGCTCTACCTCTCTGTTATGATACTATATGACTGGCCTGTTGGTCTAGTGCAGGGTTTCCCAAACTATTTTGGGCACAGGACCCCTTTTCTAAAATGATGACACCTCAGACCCCCATATCCAAATGATTTATTTATTTAAAATTATTATTTTTATTATTATATGGCAACCCCAAAGGTGCCAAAACCTCCTTTCTAAATAGAGACCTATGTCCAGAAGTGGACTATTAAAGGCTATTGATGAAAGGTGCCCCTATACTAGAATTTATCAGTAAATGGATGAATTATCAGAATTGAATGCCCTAAAATTTTATAATGTGGCTCTATATGAGGTCCGGTGATAATAGATAGTCTTGGAATATCAGCAATAAATCCAGGTCATATACAGCTTTTAACCAACAATAGGTATTTAGGTTCTGTTGTACTGATAAAAATATTGTAAATTTAACATATAAGTAAAGTAATAAAATTATATTATAACTATCCATGTGGTCATAGATTAAGAATACAGAATGTCACCACCACTATTCATCCCGTGGTTGTCGTAACAGCTGACTAAAGGAGCAAACTACGCAGGACAACAGCGCTGCATAGAGAAGGATAACTTGACACAAACCCTATACCAACCCGTCTGGCCAGCGTCATATAGTAGGCCAAAACCTCCTTTCTAGGGAGAGGTCTATGTCCAGCAGTGGACTATTATAGGCTGTTGATGTGATGATATGAATAAAGTTATAGATAGAAATTTAATTAATTAATTTAAATAGTTTTATATAATCTAGTTATTGTAACTGGAATTCAACTTTTTTTTGTTGTGCTGGCATTTGATGTATTAAGTAACATTACAATCATATTACATTTGTTGAGATTTCTCTAAAAAACAATCTAACAATTTATTTATTTTTCAAAGAAATTTCGCGCTAATATAACGATGGACACTATAAGAAGTTATTTAATTAAATAAAAACTATGCAGCTAGACATTGTACCAAATAATTCAAATACTTACAATTATTTTAACTATGAGGACCACTTCAAGTCGGAAAAGTGTACAGTACGTTAAACTTAAAAGTTTTGTTTATTTATTATACAAATTACGCGCTACGATTAATATATCTCTACGTACTACGTACACTGCACTCGAAACAATAAGATAACAGTAATAAACAGTACTAAGTTAGCGCTACCAACTCTACCAAGCAATTTAAATAATAGCTTGCTCAATTCCGTTCGACCTTTTTTGCCACCACTTTGATATGATTGTGTATACTCTTAAATTTGGTTGGGTAAGCCAAATTTGGACAATGAACCTTGAAGTGACGTTTTAAAAATGACGTGCTCGAAATGACGTTTAAAGAGGAAGTTCTCGATAGGCTAGACGATTTAGAAATTAGATTTTAAGTTATCCCTTAGATATTTGTTATCTTTATGGGGTTTAACTAAGGATCATTAGACTACATACTTCGTGTAAACTCGAGTTTTTATGCTTTCTAAATGTGCCACTAAG